CTATCGTCTCTACTTTAGAAAATGTGTGGAAAATAGCATCGCCGAGCTCTTACAAATGCGGCCTGTGAAGCTTATATTAGTAATATTAATACTATTGATATCGTCTTTACTTCGAAAAGTGTGTGGAAAATAGCATCCCAGAGCTCTTACAAAATACTGGTCTGTGAAGTCTACATAAATAATATTACATATCTCTATTTAAGAAGTGTGCAGAGCTCTTAAAAAATTAAGTGGTTACTGTGCCCGATTTGCAGTACATACGACAGGTTTTGCGCTGCTGAATGCAATAATCAAGTATCTGCTGGCTGTTTGCATCCAATCAATGTGTTTCGTTCGGGGCAGAAATGTTTACCTTACGTCCAATCGCGAGGGAGAGAGGCGGTCTGATCGTGCGACAGATCCAGTCAGTGTCCCGGGTCGGTCGGTATTGACCAATCAGGGCGCGAGTTAATTGTGTCACGCTTTTGGATATATTTGTAATTTTGGCATAGTTAGGTCGAGTCAGAAAGATAGGCGCGGTCGGTAGGATGGGAGGAAACTGTATTAGACAGGCCAAGTGTAGCCATGCGCAAAGGCAGGAAAAAGCAGCAAGAAAGGAACCGGACGGACTGATTGACAGACGGACGGACGGACGGACGGACAGACACGCTACAAGGTTAGAAGCGGAGCGACTAGCGCTCTGGGCGCCCGCTCCGCGGACGCTAGGGCATAATTGGTTGGTGTAGTGCGGGCTGACCACCTCCGCTGCACTGCGGTGTGCTTAGCGTTTCTACGTACAGCAAAGTAACATATAGTACATGTATACTGTGTTCTACTTATATTACGCTCCAAAACAACACCGCACACAGTATCCTTAGTGCTCACATGTTATGGTAGATATGACCAGGGTTTAACATGATCTGCAAGATGAGCACCATCTTACCTGGGAAGGTTCTGTCTGTAATCTCACTTTAGCGCATAGCTCCTAAAATGACACGAATCGGAGGCGTGCGTGGCTGCAAAGCTAACAAATGCTGTTCAGAAGACATGTTAGCATCAGTGATGATTCAAATTGGCATAGACTGGTGAGGAACCCCGTTTAGCTGGAGTAAATACGCCTTCTCACACATATTACCCATCTGCACGTCATCGCCGTGAGGCAGACGACACATATCATCGATTGCGACGGTCGAATAGAGAAATGTTAATCAGCTCCTCGCGCGAAGTATCTTTTAAGATAGGTAGTATTTGCCGATGGTCGCCACAAATCTCAATATTATGCTTTGAAATTATTCTGCTGAGCTGTTTGTGATGTTACTGAAGGGTATTTCCACTATCTTCCGCATGCATTGATCTTACTTGCTTAGCTGACGTACTTTCTGACTTATTTGCATAGCTACTGACTGACAGAGTGGCGTAAATCCTTTCCAACTGACATTATACTGGGTCCGATATGTACGACAAACATACGAAGAAATATGGCTGTAGGCAGAGTATCAGATCGCAGTGATGGCTAGACTTGAATTGAATAATATTTCATGTACATTAGATGGAGTACTTTCGCTGCCTACTTATCAGCTCGGCGTGCTATTTGATGTGTCCGTGCATATATCGCAAGGTCGTTAATGAGTGTATTTGCCACGCGCTCGTGAAAGCCCAACCTATGTATGGGGTCACTGTTACTTTATCGGGACTTTTGCGTCGTCGTGCTAGCTTTCTGTGCTTACGCTATTGGTGTATCAGCCTGTATAATCAAGCAGGTCACTAACTGGGCACAGGCCATTCCGCAGCGATACTGGTATGCTGAACGCGCATCTGTTAGCAGTAGCCAACGCGATATATACGCGCGAGGCGGGTACACCTTATAGTCATCCGCGACTCAACCGAGCTCTCATCTCGGCAATTATGAACAGGACACTAAAGTACAATATTGCATTCAGACACATCGCCTTGCCACGTCCATCTGTACGGTATGCACTGCCACGCAGTGGTAGTATCTATGTAAACAGCAACTTATTCGTCGCACGTAGTTCCCACTCAATACTGTGGTTTAAATTGTGAGCGCCAATTAGTGCAATATACGCTATAAGAGCTGATGGTACAGATAGCATGGTTTTGCGTGTGCCCACGTGAGCGAGTGTACGTGCCATCTACGGAGATGCGTATGCGGATAGGAACCACCAAATTGCAGCGGTGCACAGTTGATTCCATGCTCTAATTATGTATGAAGCGCGCTACGCTCTGTAGGTGCGTCAACACCATAGTCAGCTTACCGTATGTGCGGCCCCAAGCCTCGCACCGTGAGCCAGTATACCAAAACAGAAATAGGTAACAAAATGGGGGCATAAAGGGTATATTTACCATTTCTTGCTCTTCTGCTGCTTCTTTTGCTCGATGTACTTGGCGTTTCGGGCGGTCAGCTTGCGAGGGCGGCTGCGCCTCTTTTTATTCTTGGGGTACCAGTCAGGACCCATCGCCTTCTCCACGTTTGGCAGGCTTTCCTTGCGGCGCACTTCGGCCGAATCAGGTGGTGGGGGCTTTTCCTCCCTGAACTCAACCGCTTTTGGGCCGTTCTCGCAGGCAATACAGCGCCGCACGATGTCCCGCCCGCTGATTGTACTGAACGCGTAACCGTACTGCAGCTTCCCGCAGCAGACGCAGCGCGCCCGGGCATCCGTCGTAGACCGCTGTGGGTTCTGCAGAAGCGGGTCAATCTTCGCCTCCCATGTGGTTGGCACGTAAGGGACCACCATGTTTGGAAAGTGTGAGAAAGTTAACAAATTATATGATTTTTAATCGAGTTACTTGGTGTCCCAAATAATAGCCAAAAAGAAAGGGAGTGGAAGGAGTGGGTGTTATTATTGAG